CTCAACCTTTTTTAGATCAAGTGTTGGATAGACTAGCTGGGCATTGTTATTTTTGCTTCTTGGATGGATATTCTGGATACCACCAAATACCTATTGCTTCTCAGGATAAAAAAGAAACAACATTTATTACTCTTTATAGAACATTTACTTTCAGGAGAATGTCATGTGGATTATGTAATGCACCCGCAACATTTCAAAGATGTATGATGTCAATTTTCTGTTATTTAATTGAAAAAGTAATTTAAGTTTTTATGGACGATTTCTCAGTTTTTGGAACTTCTTTCAATTCATGTTTAGATCATTCAACAAGGGCTCTAAAATGAAGTGAAGAAACGAACTTCGTTCTTAATTGAGAAATATGTCACTTTATGGTTGCAGGAGGAATTGTTTTGAGACATAAGATTTCTGAGAAAAGCATGAAATTAGATACAAAAAAAAATCAAGTTATTGTTGAATTACCACCGCTACTAATGTTAGAAGAATAAGAAGTTTTCTGGGACATGTTGGTTTTTATATGTGTTATATTAAAGACGTTTCTAAAATTTCTTAGCCTTTATGTTAACTATTAGAAAAAGATGCTAATTTTGATTTTAATGTTGAAAGCTTTAATGCTTTTAATTTATGGAAAGAAAAAATTAATCATTGCACCTATTATTATTTCACTTGTTTGGACAAAACCATTCAAATTAAAGTGTGATGCTTAGAGCAGAAACATGATAAAATTTTTATAGTAATATATTATGCTAGTAAAATCCTTAAGAAGTTCAAATTAATTGCATTACTACTAAAAATGATTTGTCACCTACAGTATATGCTTTTGATAAATTCAGACCTTATCTTATTGGAATCAAATATATTGTGCATACTAATCATTCTGCTATAAAGTATTTAATGATGAAGAAGTACATAAGAACACGATTAATGAGATGGGAGCATTCTAATGCAAGAGTTTGATTTTCAAGTTGTGGATAGGAAGTGTACGGATAATCAAATAGTTGATCAATTGTCAAGGCTTAAAAAAGAAAATAATAATTTTAATGATGAAATTAATGAATTTTTTTTGGTGAAAAATTATATGGAATTAAAGAATGACAAGTTATGTGATATGTTGATATACTAAACTATTTAGTTAGTAACATTTTACCCCACGGACTTGATAGCCATCAAACTAAAAAGTTCATTTATGATTCTAAATATTATTTTTAGGATAACCCATATTTATATAAACAATGTAATGACTTAATTATTCGAAGATGTGTACCAATTGAAGAAACTTAAGAAATTATACAAAAGTGTCATAAATCTGATTTTGGGGGATATTTTGGGGTTGATAAAACTGCATTTAAAATTTTACAATCTGAATTTTATTAGCCTACACTATTTAAAGATGTTAATTATTATATAAAAACATGTGATGAATGACAAAAAGTAGTCTATATTTCCAAAAGAAATGAAATGCACTTAAATTTTACACTTGAAGTTAAAATTTTTTATATTTGTGGTTTAGATTTTATGAGACCATTTATACCATCTTCTGGAAAAAGTTATATTTTAATAGTTGTGGATTATGTTTCAAAATGGATTGAAGCAATTGTTTTACCTCGATGTGACGCTAAAGTTGTTAAAAAAATTTTAAGGAAAAATATTTGGATTGCCTAAAATAATCCTTACAGATGGGGGAAGTCATTTTAAGAATAGAATAATTGAAACAATAACTCAAACATGTGTAATTAAACATCGATTGTCATAGCTTATCATCATCAAACTAGTGGTTTGACAGAAGTATTCAATTGAAAAATTAAAGAATATTGGAAAAGATTGTAAATCCTAACAGAAAAGATTGATCTGCTAGACTTGATTCTACATTATGGGCTTATAGGATTGCTTACAAAACTCCTATAAGAATGTCACCATACAGGCTCATATTTGGATTGTCACCATATAGGCTCATATTTGGAAAAGATTTTCATTTACCTGTTTATTTGAAGCATAAAACTTTTTATTGGGAAATAAAAGAATTTAATTATAGTCTAAAAAATGCTCAAGAAAAATGATTATTTCAGTTAAATGAGCTTGACGATATGAAAAATGAATCTTAGGAGAATGCGAGAATTCTAAAGAGAAAATGAAAAAGGGGCATGATCAAGGAACTCTGAAAGGGCATTTCGAGCATGAACAAGAAGTTGTAATATATAATTCAAAATTGAAATTATTTCTAGAAAAACTTAAGTCCATGCGATTAGGACCATTTATTGTGATAAGAGTTTATCCAAATGGAACTGTTGATTTTGAAGATCCGAAGACTACAGGATAATTAAGGTAAACGAACACAAGTTAAAAGCTTATATAAGTGGAGATAATTCTACATTTGAGGAGATCTTCATATTCAGTCAATGAGATTAAAAACATTGGATAGGTTAGGCTGACGACGTTAAACCAAGTGCTTTGTGGGAGGCAACCCATCGTTATCGTTGTGATTGACTTGATTGTTGATTTTGTTGTGATGAGCTTTTGATGTAAGTTGGAGTCCTAGATGATTATATTGGCACAAAATATTATTATATTAATGGAATTGAAGATTAGAAGAAAGAAATTTGGATTTTGAGAAAGTTGGTCTGACGCTATAGCGCCAAATTTAGCGATATAGTGCCACAGTTCGAGTAACTTCATTGGAACCACAAAATTTTAGTTTCCTTCTCTCTTTTTCTCTATAAATCGGCCTAGGACGAGAAGGAAAGTGTTCCTACGACTTTTCTTAGCAATTTGGTGAGATTTGAGAGTGGAGAAAGCAATTTCTACTTTAAGGATCATGGAGAGCAAAAACAAGGAGAAATTTGAAGATAAGAAGGTGCATAAGGATGCTCAGACGTATTTAAACGGATTTCTTGCATTGAGTTTGGAGCGACTTATGGATAAAGTTGGGAAAAATATAAGATAATCATTATACTTTCTCATCTATAAATAGAGTAAATATTTTTAAAATAAGATGAGATTGATTACTATTCATCTCCTTTGTCTTTCTATTTTTATTTACACAATATTTTTTAGATGTAGCTCACAGATAAATTTGAATTAAACGACAATTTTTCTATTTTCCTTGCTTCTTCATTTCACCTTAACAACATATTAAAAAATTTAGAATGAAAATTGATTAGGAAAAAAATTATGAGTTACTATTACAAAGGCTATTTTTTAAGATTAATGTCCAAAATGATCTTAAACATTCTTTAGCATTCCTAGCTTCTAAGAATTATTTATTGGCTCATTCATTAACTAATTTAACTATTTGTTCAATTAATTTTTGAAGGTAATGGACAACCAGAACATTATCATATACATTGTGAAAATGTATGCTGGAGATATATATATATATATA